CTTGCTTTGGGACCCTTGAGCTCCCTCTGAACCTGGACACATAAGGGTTGGCTCTTCCACACTACATGTACTTTTGGTTATGCAGTTTGGGTGTGAGCACTACCCGGGATCCCTTGAGGTCCTTAGGGAACTCTGACACACCCAGGTATGAGAATGGCTTTGGAACAGTATTGACATTTGAAGTGGTTTATTACATAACTCAGATAGGAAATCGAGATCAGGCTTCCTATGATTGTAACTTCTTATTTTTGCATTTCTTATGTAATTCTATCACAGGGTCTGTAATAATTTGTAAACAAGTAGTGGGGTGGCTAGTGAAAAGGGATGGGAAATATGCATGCCATGGTTGTTCAAGGGTAGAAAACATGTTATTAGGTTTATATTCCAAGTTGTTCAATAAAAATTATGTTTATGATTCATACAATGCATTAGAAATCATGTTCTTAGGATTCATGTTGTCTGCTTCAGCATCTCAATCATTAATCATTGTCTTATGTCTATCGCTTAGAAATCCTGCTCCTAGGGCAATAACAATAATGGTATAAAATGATGTTATTTCAAAGATTTTGCAATTCTTGTGTACATTTAGAAAGCATGCCTTAGGGATTCTGTTTTCAACAACCCTGCCATTTGCATGTGCATACTAGATACCATGTTCTAGGATCCTGTTTGCATTTTTAAAATACTTAGTTAATTATTGATTCAGGAGAAGTTAGTAATTTCACATTGCATTTTCTGAATAAAATTGGCAACGATCTTTGCGAATAGAACAACATGTTTTAGGTAATCAAAATAATCTCCAAACTATCTTAATGACTTGGAACAACTGATGTATCTCGCTTTGCGCCTAGGCAAGCCTTAGGTAATTACTTAAATAAAACTGGAACTGCCTTTGTTTAATCATCAACTGTCACAACCAGCACGCAGGCCTGATTCGGACTTCTTTTCTGAGTCATGTGAAAAATCTGGTTCTGACTTAAACACCCTGCTTAGGACTTTAAATTCAGACCTTAACTGTGGATAAGTCATGTTGTCTATGTGCACTATTTGTGGAGGTATAACTGAGCCTTTTACTTGCTTATATGTTCCCCCCTAATTGCAGTCTTATATGTTTTTGTAGGGGTACGGTCTGCGTACACTCCACTCTCCCCAAACCCCACTAGTGAAATTTTACTGGGTATGTTGTTGTTGTTGTTGTATGAGTTTCTTTAATTCTTTTTAGTTTTATTGAACTTTTAATGTATCTTTTATATTTTTTAATATTATCATGCTATATTATTAATTCATATATTTAAAAATTAAAGATCTGCACGGCTTACGCCCCATGTCTCTAGGCTTTCGCTTCGCCCCTTATTAAGTAAAATACCTCGCCTCACGCCCTCGCATTTTAAAACACTACATACAACAATGGGAGAATAACACGGTTACACACAAAAATAAAACTATTTCCCCTTGTCTACCCATTTATTTTTCTACCCATAAACTAATTACATTTCCTAGCAATAGTAGCTTTTTGTGGGAAATTTTTTCTTTATTCTCCAATTCTTTTTTATTTCTATGCTTCTTTTCTTTTCTTTTCTTTTTTTTTCTTTTCTCCTTTTCTTTTTTCTCGTTTTCTTCTTATTTTTTTTCTTTTTTTCTTTTCTAATTTCGTTTAACTTCTTTTTTTTTATATTCTTTTTCTCTTCATAATCTAATTTCATTTACTATTTTCACTATTTTTGATTATTATTTTTTTTAATACTATTACTAAAGAAAAATCAAATTGTGTACCAATTAAATGTAGCTAATACAACAAAAAAATATTAACTGACAGTATATAGCTATACCAACAGGGTATACATTTGTATGCAAAGAGTTAAAAAAAACCTTGTTTTGAGTTTCAAAATAACCACAAACTCAACAAACCCAATTTATGAGTTTCAAAGCTTCAAGGTCCTCCAACGGTAGATTAATGTTTTACAAAAGTCAGAAGTCTTGGAATTCAAGTCATAGAATAAATCCAAACGAAAAAAAGATTTGAATTTTCACTTTACCCCTCACGCTGGGTAAAAGCTTAAAGCAAATTAAAAGAGAAAAGGCAAGTGAATTTACGGGTAATAAGTATACTATTATGGTATATTGTATACTATTACAGCATATTGTTACAGTACATTGCATATTATTACAGTATACTATAATAATATATTGCACACTATAATAGTATACTTCATACTATAATAGTATACTGTCAACAGTATAACTATATAGTCCTATAGTATATTGTATACTATAGCGGTATACTGTTAGGTAACTGTGTTCTTTTTCGATTATTAAAATATAACGTTGCAGTATATTATAAACTATAATAGTATACTGTTGCAATATAGCGATATACTTCTACAGCATATTGTATACCGTAGTAGTATATTATTGGGTAGCTGTGTTCTTCTTCGATTTTCAGCTGAAAATTTCAATCTCAATTACCTCAAATCAGCTCCAAGTGCTATCAAATTTCAGTATGAATTTCTAGAAGGTATTATAAGCAATATTTAACAGCACTCACTTTGAATCAAACAAGAAATCTTCGAAATATAAAAAATTTAAATTCAAGAGCTTTAAGCCCAACAATGGTGAATATTCAAATACACATAAAAATTCAGATCCAGGAAGCTTACTTGAAGGTACTATAATCAATATTTTATAGCACCCACATCGAATCAAATAATAAATCTTCAAAATAAAATTTTAAATACAGGAGCTTTAAGCTCATCAATGGTTGATTTTCATATACAAACACAAATTAGAGCTGGAAAACTTAATATATAACTACAACAATACATGGCTTCAAAAACACAAATAAATACAAAAGTGTATTTATTTGAAACTTGCAACTGATGTTGCAACCAGAGCTGTTAGTTCTTTGGAAGGTGCAGGGGCGTTTGCTATTGAGTTGTTTTTTTTATAGAGGACAGTCAGGTTGTTAGTGCGAATAGAATAAAGGCCAAGTAAATAGTTTGGGCCGCATAGGCAGGAGAAATAAATAATTTGGACCTAGACATTAAAAGGTAAATAATTTAAAATTAATGGGTATAAAGTGAAATTTTCCCTACAATAATGACATGTTAGACACAAAGTAAAATTTCTCGTATTCAGTGATGTGCGCCTCACTCTTAAGTTACGTGGTACAACGACAAACAGATATCTGCTACCCAATTAACTAAACAAGAATGGCCCAATGGGCTTATACTCCCTTAAATTCTCTTAGAGAATTTTTGCAAAAAGCACCATCTTTTAGTCCTAATTAGCCATTTATAGATGCCTTTTGTTAGATTACGCTCTATAGATATCTTTTATGTTTTTATACAATGTATTTCATGTATTTAAATGGTTGTATTCATTAATACAAGAAAAAAAATAGGCGTAAAAACGGGAAATCCAGCTAAGTGTTATCTGTATTTAACTGTATTCAAGCGAAATTTCAGCTGTATTTAACTGTATTCAAGCAAAATTTCAGTGAAATACAGTAACTTTTTTGCGCAAATTCTGGGAACTTAAACTTGTTAAAAACGGAAGAAAATCAAATCACATGATAGTCTCCTAATTTAACTCAAAGAACTAAAACGAGTACACACTAATTTGTATTTTGCTCAAAGAAAGCAACTCAAAAACGTGAAAAGAAGGAAAAACCAGAGCAACACATCTGATCGAACTTCTCAATTCTCTTCTCCTTTTTTTCTATTGAATACAACAAAATACAATTGAATACAGCTGAATAAAACTCTTGAATGCAACAAAATACAACTAACTTCTGCTGAATAAAATAGTTGAATATAACTAACTACAACTGAATACAACTGAATACAGTTGTATAAAACACTTGAATACAACTAACTACTGCTGAATAAAATAGTTAATTACAACTGATTAAAACTGAATACAAGAGAATAATCACAACTTTTTAATACATCTAAAATATATAAATGAATGTTGCTGAATACATGTGAATACAGTTTCACCTCTTTCATCTGTAAACATGGCTTTCGACAAAATCAAGGTTGAAAACCCTATCGTTGAGATGGACGGTTAGATCTCTTTCTCCTCTACTTTCTCTATCTCTATATTTCTTCCGTTTTTCTTGCTGAAATTTGTTGTTTTATAGATCTGTTTTTGTATGTCAAATAATAATAAAGATTGATTATGCTATGAAAATACAGAGAGGACAAAGAATTTGAGTAACGTGGGTATGTGGGAGAAGAGAGTAGAGGTGACAATGGCGGAGAAATAGAGATTTAGGGTGGGAGAAGATTTATGAAACGTAGGTTTGTGGAAGAAGAGGGTAAAGTGTATGGAAGAAGAGAGAGAGAGAGAAAAGCTGGTCAGAGGAGATATACGCTAATTAGGTGAGAGAAAATATAAAAAATGAGAGAAAAATATTTTGTAGCATATATGGTGCCTTAATTGTAGGATGAAACTATATTTAGATTTTTTGCTATAAACTATAAAAGGTATTTACAGGATGTAATATTTTAAAATGGTATTTATTTAATATAAATAGGGTACTAACCTATTCTATAGTGGTAAAATTTCCATTCTCTTATCTTCTCTTCTTTAGAAGAGGAAGAGTTTTCGACATGTGTGTTTCATGTCTTTTTTATAAAGTTTGAGGGTAATTTAGTCATTTCACATAAGCTCCTACAAGTTTCATATACGTGGCTGGGTTTGTGTACTCAAAACTAGACGGGTAATTTTTATATGATTCCACCTGTATTTTAAGAAGATAACACGTTAGGTTTTCCATTAATTTCTTTAAGATTACTTCTCAGATTACAGTCTTTCATGTTCCTCTTCTCGCTCAAATTGCAGGTATGTTTCACTTTCAATCAATTTTTCCCATATCTTTTTTCTCCTTTTTCCTTTGTTCTTTCTTCACTCTGAGTTTTTCTCCATCTACTATGAATTGTGTTGAGTTTCTATGTACTTTGTTCCCTTAAATTTGGTTTACCCATTTCTTGGTGATGGTATGTTGGCAGATATGTGTCGGTTTCCTTCAAACAAGAATTTGATAAAGCACAAACAGTCTATGTATTGCTTGCTATTTTGTTGATTTCTCAATTCCGTGTCCCTTATTAGTCTTTTTGTTTCTATTATTTTGCGCCTTTCTCCAATTTTTTGAGTTGCGCCTCCCTATTTTTGCAGGATCCATTGATGGTGTACATAATGGTATGTATATGTGCTACTAATTGCTTTTTACTATTATTTCATATAGTTGGTATTTTTTCCACAACCAACTACGCAATCGATAGCGGTCTCATTCTTTTCATGACCCAATTTTGATTCCTTAGGTAAAAACCTCTGATGTGGAGGTGTTTGATAAAAAAAATTCAATGAATTGGATTTTCTATTTGATTTCTTATGCATTTGTAGTCTTTTCCATCCTTCGAAGGTAAGGGAGAAAATAGAAAATTGCCAGCGAATGTTCGACACTATTAGCTACACCTCTATCATGTTTTCTATTTTCACCACAGAGCATGAGAGTTATAGTTACAGAGCGAGATTTGTGGATTTTGGTTGTAACTATTTGTATTTCATGTCTTTCATTTCTTCTTCACGAATGAAAGAAACTAAATTTTGACGAATTAATTAAAGCTGGACTGAAAATTTAAATCCAGTGTAAAGAATTTCAGAAAATTCAAATTTATTCTTGATTTTATTTATCCTCCATGGAGAAGCTCCTTGCAGTTTAACTATAAATTGAGCATGATTTACTGAATTTCATGACTTTCAGATACAATCACTACTTCACTAGGTGATGAAGCAGTCTATTATTTGATTATAGATATCATCTGCTGAAACTAAGAATCTCATTAGCCATGTAAGTTGATTAGAAGATATTCATAAGTTATGTGAAGAATTATGCTGATGATGTATCTATTGATGATGTAGCTATATTTGTTTGTCCTGTATCTTATGACGGACATTTCAAAGAGACTTTCCCTTCAGGAGATCTTGGACCACCCTTGAATAATTAAGACAGCTAATCCGAATGGAGCCTGCTAAAAGTGATATTTTCTCATACTGCTCTCACCTCGAGTCTTTCATCCTGTTTTCACCAGTTGAATAACGTCTAGCATCACAAAATTTGACAGAAGATTCGTAGTGGACGTGAAATTCTTGAGAGTCTATACCTCTTGTGCAGGCAGATGACAAAAATATTAAGGTTGCAAGAAACGAAGTCAACAACGAGATCTTTTGAGAATTAATAGGCTGGATCTAAGGGGAATCTGTTGGAAGACATTTGTTATTGAAACACAAAATTAAGTAAATTTTCCTGAAGCTATAGAATTTGGTAAGTGACTTCTACTGTAAATCAGACATATAGCTATTTATATGCGTAAAGCAATTGATTTCAAAGTATATATCTGTTTAGCTTTTAATATGCCTGAATGTTTTTTATATTCATTAAGTATCAAGTTTAACATTTGTAAGGGCAACTAATCTGTCATATCTGCCTGACGAAATTGATATTCACATTTACAAGGTTAAAGAGGAAACTTTTAGTAGGAGAGACATGACCGGCCTTGAAAAGGCAGCGGAGTGGTTGGATGTATGTCGCCGATGAGTACCGGCTGGAGGAGTACAAGATGTTGGAAATTATGTTGTGTTTTTAGCCGCTTATGCATATTTCTGCACCATTCTTCTTTTTTAATAGTTCCCGCATAGAAAAAGAAGTTCTTGATGTAACAGTTATAGCCTCAAGTCTATATAGAAGGAATATTCAAATACAAAAAACAACAGTCAACGACATATGGATAATTAAACCAATACCAACTCATGATACAAGTACAAACTTTCAAAAGTCAACGACATAAATCTTTATATCCTCCTTCAATAAAAATTATAACAACGTGATAAAAATTAAGTAAGTTAACAAAAAGATAAAAACTTAATATATGCTACTTAAGTAAAGAATATGATGCTTATCAGAGTTTTAGAGTGAATTCAGGCAACTTAAATATTGAAATGACGGAGGTAAATCTACAAGTTCAGATCTGGAGCACCGCCAAAGGAACATATTGCTTGGACGGAGGGAGAGCACAGGTCAAGTCAATAACCGTTGAGCTTCAGTCTGTTGTGCAATATTAAGCTAGATATCTTTTTCTTATGTGCTTATAAGAATTCATGAGTATATATCTTCTGTGTCATAGATTACTGTAGATCGTTTGTTTTAGCCTATGTCATGTTTCCGTCACCTTTTTATCTATGTGGATCCACCATATAAATGACTAAGAAAATATTGCACTTAAACGATTAGTAAGTTCCAGATNGATCAAAGTGATTCAATGAGCTTTGGTTTGGTAACCCTATGTGTTATAATTTATTTTTTACTGAATTGGTTGTTTTCTCAACTAAGAGACCGTAGTAGTGCCTTTTTTGCTTGTGTAATATCTATACATGAGACATTTTCTATTTGTGGGTTTGACTTGTAGGATTATGATGGAATTTTATATAATTGTATGAACTATGAAGCATGACGGATTTAGTCATTGACACTGTTATTTCTGCTAATGAATCTGGTTTTCGAATTGGAGTTTAACTTGCAGAGATTGTTGCAGGCATACCCAATGAGATGTTGTCCAGATTTTTCAGTGATGGATTCTCATCTTGTAGTTCCAATGAAATTTGCAAGCTGAATCCATGAGCGAAACAAAGAAAAAAAAAAGATTGGACGTAAATAGCAAAGAGAAGACGGATGTATAAGGTGTTGCAAGCATCAGAGAAGATGAAATCTAAAATACTTTAAGAGAAAGGTCGAAAAGAAAAGCAAAAGGAGTGTATCGGTCCTTGGTATGATTGTGAGTATTGGTTTTGGAACATATGCTTTGCTGTTTTGCATTGCTGTAAGCAATAGGCAGCTGGAAAAAATTGGTGATTTCAGTACTCATAGGTTTTTGATAGAACAAATCAAATGATGTAGTTTATGATAAAACACCACAATAAGTCTTTTATATCATTCCCAACTTATCTCTTTTGTGAAGATTTTTTTCTTCCTTCTAAACTATGCAGGAATCCAGTGGCCTTAGATGTCCTAATAGGGGCTTTGCAAGATGCTTATTTTGAGGAGCATTTTTTTGACAACAAAATATAAGAGTTTTCCATTTTATGTCACATGCCATGCCAACTGTTTATCGAGACTTCGTTGCAGGCTATCCGATTCTAAAACAACACAGGAATTGATATACTTTACCGAAAATAGGATAAATATATTTATGACATCAAGCTTAAAAATGCAAAATCGCGCCTGTGCTACTTCGTATTTTCTGCACTTCTAGCATAGGTATGTATACATCATTGACTAAATAATCAATTGACTACTGGAATTAGCAATAAACAAGCAACAACCGCTTCAAAATCCAAATGTTGGGCCTGTGCTGGCACAGGTCATGCCCCATCTATACTATTTAGAAGCGGCAGTTTAGGTGTACGAACATTGTTGTCTTGACTCTTGAGTAGTACAAAAAGCTTTGTAAATAGTAGGAGTATTATATTTGGGCTTAACTTATTGGTGAATTAACACGTGGGCTGCACTGTTCCTTTACCCAACCACGTTTACTTCAATATTTCAGATACACTATAACTCTACAGTTTTCCATCTCTTCCCTCGCCTGATTCTCTCTCTTTGGCTTTTCTCTGCATTTTTTTTCTTGCTTTACTACTTCAAGAGTTCAAGGTGTCATCTTCTTTGAGTGAGTTTTTAAATTCATGTGGTGTCTCTGGTCGCGGATCCACCTCACAAATTGTGGTGCACTTGCACCCATCCTGTTTGGAGCTATAAGCTAGACTTTCAATATAATTTTATGAAAATTTTGTTGTATAGTGCAGTGTGAACCCATGGTCAAAAGTGGGCGTTGGGTCCCCAGACCCTATGGCCACATATTTTATTTTTATTTTGACCTATCTTTTCTTTTCTTTTCTTTCTCTTACCCTTTCTTTTCATTTCTCTTTTCTTTTGACTTCATCCAATTTAATAAATGGTAAATAATAGATTAAGAATTCTGCTTTTAGCTATTGATTATTTCTTGTTGAGATTTGTTTTTATCTTGAACTACTCTAACTTTGTTTTAAAATAAATAATTCTAAAAGATTAGTTACGCAGTACATGATAAAACTTGCTTCATATTTTTTTATTCCAATCAAATTTTTGAATTTTTGTATTCAATTTTTGAATAAGTAAAATACTTTTTTTTGGGTAAGCAACTCACATACAAAGAATTAGCCATATGCTCTTAAGGCTTTTTGATATCTTTGTGTTTCTTTTTGAACTAAAACACGCAAAAATTTAAATGTTTACGGCATTACTTTGCCATTAACATTCTACGTACCTTAATCCTCTTTGCTTTGACAGTACAGTACGAACCAAATCAATTTAAGACTATATTATTCAATAATTGTTTAAGATATTAATGATATAAAAGATTTATCAAGTATGAAGTTTATCTATTTAGATAATGTGCAAAATTGATTAGTTGTAAAACACTATGACAAGTATCAACTTTAGCTAAAGATAATGGTGCACCCCATGATATTAAAATCCTGGATCCGCCTCTGTTTCTGGATCTTCATGTAGTTTTTCCACTTTCTATGTTCAAAATTCTTTCATAAATTCTGTCTTTTCCTGATTTTACAGTATATTTGCTACAATGTTTTACGCTCTATTGTGTATGTTAAGTCTGGTAAAAATTTTCCCCTGTTTTTCTTTCTTGCCCCGGCTTCTGCCTTCCTCTTCTGTATTTCTTTGAAAGTTGTCCATTTTTTGTTCGATGTTGGTCTTTCTATAATTCTTACTGTCTTTTGTACATCATGCATGTCTGGAATTCTTATCTGATTTTTGATGTTTGGAAAGAAATACCTAGGTGCAACTTCAGTGTTTCTGATTTTGGGAATTTAAAGATGGATAGGGACATTGTGGATGTCCTATATCCTTTCTTTCTTCTGTCAGTTTGCTTTAACGGATATTACAATTGCTTTACATTATGTAGAGTGAGGGGTAAAGACACTTGTACTAAAAGATTTTAGCAGAGTTTTGCCTCACTGATACAGAAAACTAGACTTGCTAATTAGCTGATGGCCTTAATTAAAGATTTTAAGTTTGATATCTGTCTTTTGTTTATTCTTTTTCGTTGTTGCTTTCAACATTCATGGAAGATGGAACTAGGCTGCTTCTTCTTGTTATTCTTTGTAAGTGTAGATTTACTTATATTTTAGCAAGGAGATAGTCCATTACTGAAGCTTTCCAAAATAAATATTCTATTACTAAAAAGACAAATATGGCTTCTTCAGACAGGACCAACTATATGTCAAGTTGTGAAGTGAATGGTTAAAAAGATAGGTTATGCAGTAAGTTTAATATTTGTGAAGTACTATCTTATAAGTAGATGTTCTCTCTTTGTGAGTTTAATATGACATTAGATGTTGCTTCAAGGTTAAGAAGGTCCGGATTACCAAAAGAATGCATGAAGTTCAACAAACTTCTTTTATTCTTTGTTTATTTAAAACTTCCTAACTTTATGCATGTAGATTATTTGCTCATTGTGGCGATACCAAGCTATGTCTACTTTTACTTTTATTAGTATCATTTATGATCAATTACATTCAAGAAGAATATCAGTAGATGATTGAAATTACCGGAGGCCAAAAGCTACTTTCTTTCCAACTTAAGGGTCTGAAGATTGTACAGGTGTCGTGGTTGTTATCAACCGGTGAATATCATGAACAGAGGTGGATAGAACCTAGCTATAGTAAAATGTTCCTTTGTTGCTGACATATATTGTATTAACTATAGTTTTGGAGCTTTTATATGGTTCAAAGAAGATCTTTTAAAGATGTAAAAATAAATATTGAATTTGACAAACTAATGGGCTTCAAAGAAGATCAAATGATTGAGCATTTTGTTGACAAAACCACTCGCTCAAGAGCATCCATTGCTTCCTTTGATTCTTTTTGCAATTAGGACAAATTTAATTGGCATTGCCTCAAATGACAAAGTTCTGAGAGGGAAATGCATACTGGTCTTGAGAGTACCTTATAACCATGCTTATTATTTCCTTTACTTTGTCTGATGTATTATAGATTCACTGTCAGATCTTTGTATCTCTTTATTAATTCGTCTTGGTACTTTTGATCTTTCTCCAAAATTAACTACGTGTAATGACTCATAAGCAAGGACAAATTATGGAACTTTTATTCTTCTAATATCTGAATGTTGAAATCATCTTCTCTCTTTGATTTGGAGAGCTATAAGTGATCAGTTGTGTATTTCTATCAAAGAACTGCAATCAGCCATACTGCAAGGACCAGTTGGTGGAAGCCTCTCAAATTAAAGGTGCATTCTAAATTTACGACAGGCAAAACCCAGTAAGAAATCCTCCTCTCCTTCTCCAAAATTCTTTATGGTTTTGGCTGAACAAGCTTTTCCAATAAAGGCAAATTCAAGTTACTAATAGCATTACTACCTTTTCTGAACCACGAAGCCAAAAAATTTAAAAGCTAGCCAGGTAGCCTTAGAAGTTAGAAATGCTGCTGAATTTTTATTTTTTTTTCATGACCTTTTTAACTCTATGGACATGATATGTACCATTAGCATGGTAAATATATAGAAAAGGTTGCTGCTTGAAAGTTAGTTGTTGGATTAATTCTCTACTATTGAATAGTTCAGATACATAAATTAACTATTCTGCTTCTTACATACCTTTTTACATACCCCTTTCACCTGGTAATTTTTATTTTTTTCTTTAATAATTACATAGTAATTTTCTGTTATGGCTAGGTCATGGTACAAGTCCTACTGCTCATTCTGTTGTGAATGTAAAGACTATATAGAAGCGCTGATTCTACCTCTTTTTTCATTTGGATTTGGTGGTTAGGTGTTGAGTTGAAACATCAAAAGGACCATAAATATGGTAACACGCAATTTGAGGAACACTAGTTCCGGGAGAGTGACTTTTGATTTGATAGCATATCAAATGCTGAAGAACGTATTTAGGATGGATAAGGTAGTTAACATGAGATGTTGAAGAATGTATGTTAGGATGGATAAGGTAGTTAACATGTATAAGCTATTTGTGTGTCTTATATTTTTCTTTTAAGATGAGAGTTATTATTTTCTTATTCCTCTTTTGTAAGACCAATAAGTGAAAACATGAATTTTTTATTCTTCATGAAGTGCTTACATACAATATTGGTCCCCTAAATGGTACGAATTTCCTTATGCCATTGTTTATCGTATGTATAGGTCATCCTCGATCAACATCTAATATGTTGAACCCGTGCTATGTTGGGCTGTGCTTAGCACAGACTTCATTTCTAGTATTCTATAAGTGAGAGTTTAGCAGCTCTCCGTCAACATGTCCCTTTCACTATAAGGGTATTTCCGAAATTTTTTACTTTATTTGCTTTATAGGTATTGTACGTGTTAGCTTTATCATTTGTACACGCTAATAAATTTTCAAGGCCCCATGAATTTCCCAGTTTTTTTGAAATAATTATTTCCTAATTATGTGGGTCCCCCAATAGTACATAGCAACATTTTTACGCTCTCAGTTTGCAGCCACGTTTATCGGCTATACCCAACCCTCTTTTTCCTTGTATTCTCCCGTCTACCAAAATACTTTCAGTATCACTTTCTATGCAAATTTTTATATTAGCTTAATTTCAAAGTTATTATTCATTCTAATTTAAGGTCAATTTTGTTAGAGTTAAAAAAATAACAGTATATGAGCCTAATACAGTGGAGATAATACAAAATATTTA